ATCCGATCCTCAAACGTTTTTTTATATGTGTGCACTCTGCTCCAAAGAGTGACAATAGATACAAAATCAATACTTTGACTTTGAGCACCTATATTTTTTTTCACAAAAACTCAAAATCACACAAAATTTTCACCAAAACCATATCCAAAACCCTAAAATTTATGATCTTAACCTCTGATGTTTGAATGGTATCAAAAGAGTAACCCTAATTCCTAATAAGACCTTAGGCACCTTCCTTGAAGTCCACTGGGTATGAATTTTGGCTAATAGGAATCGAAGTTTTTATCATCCATCTTCATTCATCCATATGGTTGGCCTAACTACCCTTTTTTACACAAAAATACTTCTCTAATCCTTTTTCTAATAAGTTTTATATAATATGTGCTTTGAACACCAAATAAAAAAAAACAAAACAAGATTTCAAGAGTCATCAATGTCTTATAAAGGTGGCTCTAAATATATAAAAACTATTCTTAACATAAAATCAACCTCAATAATAAACTTTTTAAATTAACTACTTCAAAGTAGCAATCTAACCACATTTTGCAATCAATTAAAATCTAATAACATGGCTCTCACCATTTTGTATAATAAATTGTACATTAAATATATATACATATGCATTATTTTCACATGATAACCAAATCACAACACAACATTGTTGATTTGTGTTCTTAGAAGAGAACTTGACCTGCATCAAATACCATAAACCAATTAACAAGGCGTATTTGAAATAGGCAATTACAACTAATTGAGTGTAAGGTGTCAAAGCATCACACCCCATCAAGGAGGGGCAACTCTTCAGGGTTTGTTCTCCTTGACAGTACAAAGCAAATGAAAAACAGAAAATGATAAAAGAAACATGAATACTTGCAAATACTGAACTTATATTCTAACCCTAGTAAAATAAGTTCCAATATGCAGGTTGCAGACGGATAGAGGAGTAACCTAGAATGTTCTAGAGCCTTGCAGTGTCCACATTTGCGTCCCCTACATAGCCATTCCAAGACCACTCATCCTGCATTGCCTAAAGCATTTGCATTGCGTCTTTGATCTGTGCCAGCACTCTCTAGCTCGCGCCGCAAGCTCCACGGATTTGTCGCTATGGCATCTGCTGTGGTCTCCGTCTCGATCGTAGCGGCTGCATCCCCTGCAGCTGTCTGCCGCGAGTCCAGCTCCGTGAAACAATTCTCCGGTCTGAAGTCGACCACCCTGTTCGCTTCCAAGGCCCGGCGTTTGAGCTCCGTCCACAACGGCAGCCGCGTGCAATGCATGCAGGTACACAGCCGCCACGTCTCGATTTCACGTCTGCTTGCATGTTCGACTGGAGAGCAAGTGCAGACTCTGCTGACATTAGTGAAGGATGTGTCATTTGTTTTTTTCCAACACGTCTGATCGAGAATGGGCTTGACATTCTGCGCAGGTGTGGAACCCAATCGGACAGCCCAAGTTCGAGACCTTTTCGTACTTGCCACCATTGACCGATGATCAGATCGCCAAGCAGGTGGACTTCATGATCCAGCAGAACCTGATTCCCTGCATTGAATTCGACACGGTGAGTCCGTATTTCTTGCTCTCTTCAAGACTAACGTCCCTCAGAGATGAGATGCTACTGCCAGATTTGCTTCTACCTTAACCAAATGTGGTAGAAACTCCACTAGGTTACCAGTCTAGATACTCGAACAAATCTCGGTACAATCCAGCCAACATCTGAGCTGAATTTGCATTATGATGTGACAATTACGCATTCCCTCCTGCAGGTAGGATCAGTAAGCCGCACCAACTTCAGCGGCCCAGGCTCCTCAGGCTACTACGATGGCCGGTACTGGACCATGTGGAAGCTGCCCATGTTCGGATGCACCGACTCAGCGCAGGTGCTGCGGGAGATCCAGGAGTGCAAGCAGTCCTTCCCCAGCTGCTGGGTGCGTGTGCTGGGCTTTGACAGCAAGAAGCAGGTGCAGATTTGCGGATTCTTAGTGGCCAGGCCCAACTAGATACCTTGCGGGAACTTTTAGCTTCCGAACCAAGCAGGAGCAACTGCCTCTGTAGTGCAGTTCGAGGCAGTCATCTTCGCATCAACATGTACTATACAATTTTGCAAAAACCAAACGTGTTGACTGAAAAGCTTTTCGCAGACGTGTAGTCTGATTTCTCTCATTCACTCCTGCAAATCAGAATACATGTGGTACCAATTTCGCCTCTACAATTCCGCCTTATGAGTCCAAATCCACACCTATCATCATACTTTATTATTACCAGTGATGATTTTCATCATGAATTACACTATACTATGTTATCTTTCAGTATATATGCCATATTTTGTTCGCGTAAAATATATTCTCTTGGAAAAATACAGAAGTGAAGTAAGCAAATTTCTGACTTATACGATGTTAGCACCTATCAAAATGATTCGTTTGTGAAGAACACTACAAAACTAAACAGGTATGCTGTTTTCGACATATTAATAATTTTCAAAACGTGTACATGTAGTGCTCTATAAATACCTTGAAGAAACATGTATGTCTTCATCAATTCTAAGAAAGATTGCAGGCTAATTGCTTTGGGTTGACAGGAAGAACCTTACGGAGAAGCTCGTGATCTTAAGATGAAGTAGAAGAAGATGGACTCATGTTTGATTAGCTGCCGCTCTGCTTCATCTAACTGGCGTATGCACACCTTCTCGCAATCCCTGGATTTCTATTGTGGTGATTGTCACTCGTGGAGATCATGTTGCCACCATCACATTACAGATAACCACTTAATTGAAATGCAAGGATTCATATTGAAGTAGAGAGGTTCGAGTTTGTGATAGCTGCACTCTGTGAGCAGGACCAATCTAGACATACCTTCATGACGTTGCGAGACCAACTGTTACGCCTGCATGTCGCAAGGGAACTCGGTAGTACTAATCTCCACCTAGATGCTGGTCCTAGCGATAACCTCATATTCTCCGACGAAATTCAGGAAAACATTTGCAAACATGAACTACATTGGGACTACCATAAAGTAATATTTTCCTGTCTAGAAGAGTTGGGTTTATCTATAAGAGTTAGAGGTTTCGGGACCTCCTTCAGCACGTGGAGGAACTTCTCTGGATGCGGAATGATGCGTCTTATCATGCATAGAAAGACGAGGTGGCTGAGAACATCCACCCATCACGACTTTTTAGAGTGAACCCAGCATCGGCTTTCAGTATTTGAATTAGGGTTGACCAGCTGACTGGTTTTTCAGATTCATATAGATCGTTGCACAACTGGCTCCATTCAAATTTTGTTATGAGTTGATGAGAAAGACTGTAATGTGTTGATCAATTTGGGCTGCTACGAAAGTAATGCTCCTCAAATCAGATACTAAAGTAAATGGGTGTCAAATTGCAACACGTTTATGCGATAAATTTTCTTCGGCAACAAAGCACCCTGAGAAAATTTATTTCACATCAAAGTGCAGGTCAGATTGAACGTAAAGCTCTCTTACCGCCCAAGAGCATTCCTGACAGATTCAAGATCCTCACGGTCAAGTGCATAATATGAAGCAGAGATTTCAAGGAATGTTCAACCTTACAGCCACCCGAAAGGGACCATTCATTTTCTGCTTTGAAAATCCAATTTCACTGGTACAGACCATCGATTTCGATGTGCACATTGGGCATTTAATTCGTGATGAGGCAATAAAGAATGGTGAGTCAGATTGTTTTTTTAATTTTTCAGCACATTCGATTAAGTCTCGAGACAATGGCTACAATGTACAGTTTGATCAGCATTGGGTACACTCCCAGACCGCTCGACAAGCCCAAGGTATGACCCTTCTTGAATCTTCATTCGCATATTTCACCATCGATAATGCAGATAATTATGGTCATTCATGCTTTACTTTTTGATGCCGTGCAGTTGCGACCGGCATGAGCAGGCGTATTATTTACAAAGCTGCCTTGAAGTCCCTGTCTTTGATCGCATGCAGTGTTCTCCACGTTGTGCCTCTGCAGAGTCTTTTCGATAAGAAACGTAGCCCTAGTGAGGATGAGATATTATACTCGTGGGCATGCATGGAGTTTCTTATCGAAAAGTCTCGACACGGCATCTCGTGTACAATACTACCAATGCCCCTTATCTAGTGATACATCTAGTGATACAGCCAACCCCCAGTAAAGGTAACTTCTACTGCAAATGTCATAATTTTAGAATGTTGAAATTCTGGAGTTTCACCATCCCATTTCTAAACAGACAAGAATAACTAAGAACATTAGCTTCATTACTTCTTGATCGTACAAAAGAATTCCAGAATGCCACAATTTTGTGTGATAATTCTTATTGTTCAGGAGTGAAGATGTTACAATGTTTCAACAAGAACTCCAAAAGCTGTAGCCCAGGTGCCAAGATCTGCAACAGTAATGTAAGTGCCATGACGTGATTTTATGTTATTGTTTATATATTCTTACACTGGACAAAAAGTGCACCAATAAATGCCTTCATAGGCGTAGCCCTTGCTGTTTTCTCACATCATTCTAGAATACTAACAATCAAAGAGGTTCTGTCAAATGTTTTTCCAGATCACTGTTGTAAACCGTGCTGTTTGAAATAATTTCTACTACGATGAGTTCTACACCCAATACTGAGCATAATAGGAAGAATCGTTCAGGAGCCTCAATTATAAGCATGCGCCGTATCAATTATAAACACATGGCTGCCTCATCACAGGCCAAGTGTGTTAAATCACAATGTCGCAGTGTGTTAAATCTACATGCCGCAGATACTCTCATGAAGCCCTCTGGAGTACCAGTTCAAGAAGATAAATACAAACGACACCTTTTGATTTGCAACCCTTACTTTACTGTAATTCTGAAACGGTGTCAGGGAAATAGTTTACAGGGTCATGAGAATTGCTCCAAAGACAACAGGAAATCCCTGCCGAGGCAATTTAGCACTAGTGACACTATCCAGCTACTCTACAGCATGACCAGTCAGTATACACTCACTGCGATTATGTAGCTTCTAAATGTTATGACCTGGAGATATTGAACAAGACGTTGGGTGTTGAACTTTAGCCAAGCCCAACTCCAATAGACTCCTGCCTTCTTGCATCTGGTTTGATGCGCTTCGGTCTTACAACCTTGTCAATTATACCATATTCCAAAGCTTCATTAGCGCTAAAGCGCTTAATACGATTCAAATCCTTCACTACCTGTAAAAACAGATATTCTCCACCAGTCCATGAACTCTAAAAACTCGAATCCCAAATACAAATCAACTAGTGAGAAAGGTGCACCAACATCATCGCGACCTTAAACAGGGCTGGTAATATACAAGGGTTAGTTCAGTAGCAAGTATTACATAAACACACTTGTGTGCCACGCACATTAACCAATCTTCTGAAACATTTTATCCCAGTGTACAAATCATATTCAGCAAACCATCCTTCCACTTGGTATTAACCATACCTTATCAAAAGGTTGACCAGTTTTCTTTGAAACTTGTTCGTACACATAGTTCCTCACTCGGTTCAGCTCCTTTGCTTCATTGATGATGTCATCAGCCTAGATTTCCGAAGCCAAACGAAGAACTCACGAGTCCATGACTTTATTCAGGAAGAAGCAGAACAAAATGAGAGCTACTAAGGCACACCCCATGCACACTAGCTCTACGGTTCAGGATTCGATTAACAATGACATCTGATAAGTATCATGTTGAAAACATAGGTGGCAGACCTGGCCGCGCGCTGCACCAGCCGGGGACATAAGAGCTACCCTGGTCAGTGGCATAGCTACTCGCATGCCCTGTATTTCTCCAAATCAAGATAGAACCAGAAATCAGTGGAAGACACGATGTAAGCGACATTGACATTCTTATCTAGTGATACATCTAGTGATAAGGGAAGTTAATTAGACTACTAGGACTACCATTAGCCAACCTATGTGTCACTAGAGCTAAATTGCTTTTGATGATATGAATTAAAAATAAATAAATAAATAATCACGCCACTATCTAAAACAGCCAAGGAGGCGCACCTTCGCGCCAGCAGCAAGCAGAAGCCCTGCGTTATTGTAAGCGTAACCCAAAGCTAGGGTACCTACTGGACTTTTTATACTTTCCATTGTGTCGTAAATCGCCATGCAGGGTGTAATCTGGAACGAAACAAGGGCGTCGCAACTTTGAATTCTGAAAACTATAATTTGTAGGTTTGAAACGGCCGCTTTCTCTTAAGACGAAGACTACATGTCAAGCTACATTCGAGAAGAGAAAAGTTGAATGAGTTAGACTAAACCTCGGCTTCACTATTTTACCAACGCCAATTCAACAATTCACACTCGTTCTCAAAACCAACAAAGACTAGTTTAAAAACGAGAAGAGTACAAATGTTCTGTGCATACATCACCACCGGGGCAATTAATATACAGGTGCATAGGCTTGGAGTTGTCAACGCTGTCCAAATACAGCATAGTAGCTACAACTTGGTTGCCGAACTCCTCGTCAATGTACTGGCCAAGGAAAATAATCCGTTCACGATACTGCATTGACAAATCCATACCATCGTGTGTCAACATCAGTTGCGAATCCAAGAATTCGAAAGTGATGACCAGAAACAGATAAGAATGCTCACCAAGACATTCCAGATATCAACCCACTGCCATCCTCCTTCTCCTGGGGTTCGGTAAGGAACTTTCGGAGTGCCAATGGGCGCCATCATAGTCACCTTCCCTCGACATGATGATCTGCCTTCTCTGGACTCAAATGCAAAACACGATATCAATGGCCATCTATCTTTTCAGACTGGAAAACACCAATTTCCCGAGCTTGCAGCTCCAATATCACGACCAGCAATCAGGAAATAGAGTAAATTCAACCCTGTTTCCACTGAGCTTTGAGGAATCAGCTACAACTACACCAAAATTCTAGACAAAACACCAAGTAACAGTCGAAATTGAAATTGTCAAACTCAACCAAGCCAAGAATCGCTAAACGTTCTACAAGCCGGAAGATATCCTATACCTTCTGGCGGTGACGGCGAGATTAACATCAGCGAAGAAAGAAGCAGTGAGGTCTAGGGAGCCCGTGGAGCGGGACAGGGAACGGATGCGAGAGAAGGCAAGCGACGTGGAAGATGAGGTTGGAGAGGAAGTAGGAGTTGCACAGCGCGGCGGGACCAGGGACGAGGCTAAGGCGGAGGTTGCCATGGCTACGGCGAACACTAGACACCAAGTGTGGCACAAAGGAATTCTAAACACGACATCCACACAAGGTTGAAAGCAGACTTCAGGGAGGATTGAGATGCCCAAACCCTAACTTCGAAGCCAGCTGAAAGCTCCACCTTGTTCAATCCTCTCACGTCCGACGCACCTTCACTGTTCGTTCGTTGAGTGTTCGTTCGTTGAATATTCGTTCGTTGAGTAGATGAAAGTGGGGCTGCCACTCGGATGATCACCGTGCCTGGTTTGGATGGATGCTTAGGGGCAAGAGAATTATACGATTTCCTTGCAAATGCATTTCCTAATTTGTTTCTTAAAGTGATTTTTTTTTTATATACTTCTTTTTATTTTTCATTCTCAGAAATAATCTTTTGTAATAATTCCAACATAACATGTATTATTTAAATATTGTAACAAATTTATTACATATGGTGTACATTTATAAACATCACATTCTATTTTTATATCTTGGAAAAAAATACATATTTAAATATCTTAAAAATATATTTTTTTTAAATATAAGTAAAAAAGGGAGTTCAATTTAACATTATATTATAATTTTTGGTTTTATAATGTAAATTTTTACCTAATTATTCTTGTGTTTTCTTTTTTCTTTTTTCTTTTTGAAATAAATGATCATCATATTTGAGTTATATAAAATTGAAAACAACAAATTGTAAAAAACATCAATCAATGCATTAAATGTATTGTTGGCTATGGCATGCAGTCAAATTCAAATTAAGATTCTAGTATTAAAAAACAAAACAAAACAAAACAAAAAGCAAGAATGAACTTAATAATATATATTACATGACATGTAACTTCTTAGACCATGGTAATAGACATAACCATTACATCACCTCATACTCCATCAAATTGTATAGAATGTATTCAACACTTTTCATGCCATGTGTAATGTGGAATTCTTTTTATTATATGTAGAAAAATAAATTATGTCTGTAATAAATGTAAAAAAAACAATTACAATACATTATACTTATTTATATATTTATTTATTTGAAGCAATGAAAGCAAGATTTTTTTCTTAAAACAATACAAATGAGGATATATGAATAATACCAAAAATGAAAAAGAAAACACTACATTAATAGATGGCATACATTTGCACAATCAATAAAAAAAAATCAATTAGTTAACACAATAATGATATATTAATAACAGCTTTCTATAATTTAAGCAATAATTTCTATTGATAGACTTTAAATCTCAACCAGTTACATAGGACAAAACAAAAAAGAGAATTAAATAAGAATCCACAGATCATGCATTGAATAAAAATAAAAGTTAATACCTCCTTGGAGTCAACACTCCTCACTAGTGTCATTATTTTTATATTAAGATTCGAGTTTTTCTTTTTGTCTTTTTTTCTTCTGAAATTCGTGTTTTAGCATGTTCAAGGATTATTCATACAATGTATTGAATTCTTTATATTTGAAATGCATTACTTAAGAATAATATACTAAATTTAGAAGAAAAAAATCTTGCATTGATATTCGGTACTTGCTAAAGAAATGTATAAAATCACAACATATATTAAAAAAAAAATTATATATATATATATGAAAAAACTAATGGCAAAATTTGTAATTATAAATGTTATTTTTATTACTAATAGCATTATTAAAACACACATGAATTAAAAGATTTGAAATGGTTTCAAAAAAATATTTATGTATGCATATACATAATCTTACCTAATGATCCAAAAGCATAGATAAAAAGATTATAAGTTTTTGCAATGATGTCTAGAAATAGATAAATATTTATTATTAAAAATATTTCTATAAAAAGCCGTGAAAGTCAAAAGAAAATATTACTAATATTAGGACTATTTTATTTGTAATTTTACATTATAAAAAAATAAAAATAGTAAATTTTATATATGAGTATTTTAAGATTATATTAACACTTATTGTTGCCAACAAAATGATAAATTGCTCTTATTACTAATAAGATATATGTTTATAAAAATTATTGAAGAAAATAATGAAACTACTATATTAATAATATTTATTAATAAAATAATAACAAGTAAATAAATTCAAATCGTAAAATAAGATAATATTCTATTAGAATTTTAAATATTAATGATATTATCATTTTTAAATTTAATATAATAATAAAATATTTATATCCAATATATTTTTAAAAAGAGATGAAAAAAATTAAAAAATATGTATATTCAAAAAATAATTAAAATGACTATTTCCAAACACCTTAAAATTAAAGACTCTTAAAACTAAACTAGAAGCAAGAAAAGAATATATAAAAATAAGAAAGGCTTCACTATTGCATCTATATATACTATCTAATTAAGAGCTATGTGGTAGCATTTTATATGATCTCCAATACATGTCTAGTTAATAAGAGACATGTCTAACTAACAAGATAAGTTTCCTACATGTGTGCCACATGACAAACTTGTTAGTCAAGTTTTTAACCTATTAATCACCTATAAACATGTGTATAATCAAATTTACATAAATAAAGCTTTTCTATAACATATTATCAAATTTACTTATTTTTACTTACTTTTGCTTAACTCTATTTATGTAAGTAATAACAAGTATTAATTTTTTAAGTGACATTAATTTTCTTTCTAGTAACAAGTTCCTGAAGAAGTTGTAATTACATGTTGATAAGGTCTAAGATTTAATGAATTATATTTGCAACATACTCTAATATTTATTCTCTTTGAAGGTAGTTCATAAGTCCTCCCAATTATTGATAAAATTCTATATTAGGTGGACAAGACCACCTTGTTATATGATCATTGTTGAAGCCTTCATAACTTTCTTCAAATATTATATTTAAAATACTATTAAGAGTAGTTTTTACCTCCAATAATATCATCAAATATTGAACATGTCTTTCAAGATTGTGATATTATATATGTTGTATTTCACCATCTATTCGAAGAAGAATATGTTGTTTTTTTAAAAAAAAAAATCTATTATATTGTCTTGAAGGTTGTGACAATCTCAATGCCATATCTACTAACTCTAAAAATAATAGCTTTTTATATGAATCTTTTGGTAGTTGATTCTTCATCTTTTTAGTATCAAAAATATAAAAAAAACTAAAAAAAAAGATAGAACATAAAATGTAATTTTTACCAAATATATTTTGTTTTATAACAAAGAATTTCTTAAATCTTCATCTTAGCTTCAATAGATGTCATAGATGAAAAGAATCAACCATTCTTGTTGCATTTGTAAGATTCTAAGATGGTTCAAATGTACATTTACTAATTTCATATCTCAATCAATATATAGGATATTCCTACATGTTTCAATGCCGTGTTAAATTTAATGTCTCTTCTACCTTAAATTCTTAATAATGTGGCATTTGTCTATGTGTCTACTTCTATAGAAAGATGTGATATTTGTTTTGTAATTTATTTTATTTTATTTTTTGATATATCCATTGTATATATCTCAAGAAGAGATACATCTAAAATAAGATGAATCTTCATAAGCTTTGTTATATATATATATATATATATATATATATATATATATATATATATATATATATATATATATAATTATTTAGATTAAGAAAATAAATAGAAGTAAAGAAATTCAATAATATCTTATAAAGAAGATTCTTAAAAACTTTACATATGTGGATTTGACTTTATATATATTTATAGGTGATTAATAGGTTGAAAACTTAGTCAATAAGTTGGCCACATGTTGTATATGGTGATTTGTAATAAAAGTTGATCATGTGGTGCACATGTAGGAAACTTGTCTTATAAGTTAAATATATATTCTATATATTAGGCACATATTAAAGGTTGTATAGAATATAGTCATATAGCTCTTATTTAAATAGTATGTATAAATGCAAGAATGTGACTTTTATTTTTGTCAATATTTCTTTTTCTTAATATTATTTCAAAGGTCTCTAGTTTTTTTGCCTTAGGCATTATCCATTTTAGTTTTAGTATTATACTAGTTTTGAGTAAGTATCTATTTTTTAAAATAACACAAGAATATATTCATATCTTGATTATTTTTAATTTAAGTTCTTGATACTCTACAAGGATTAATAAATAAGCAACTAAGTAGATTTATTTATAGATAAAAAAAAATGGTTTAAATTTATGATAATTTAATTTGTCACAAAGACAAATAGTTTTGATACTACAAAAAAGTAATCATACATTATTGCCAATATAGAATTGATGTTGTTCCTTGCAATAGGCATCCATGTTGATCATTTTTTGTTCTTGAGTTTTTTATAATTGTCTCTTTATTATTGCATGTAGTTCCAATAAATAATTTGTCAAATCTTTTGTCACAAGATTATCATTTTTTGAAAAGTCAAAAGTACAAAGTTATGGATGATAATCATAATTAATATAAAAAAGTATTTATTGAATAAAAGAATGTATTATGTTATTATAATTAAAATCATCATAAAATATCGAAAAATAATTGATGCATTTGAAAGTCTAAAAAGCATGACGTTATATTCAAAATGACAATACCATGTTCAAAATATAGTCTTCTATTCATTTTTTTTAATGCATACCAAATTATATGTTCTTTATAGATTTTTTTTATATAGATATTTATTTAATTTAATTTATCAAGAAATCTGAATAATACAAGTAGAATATATCTATTTTTATGGTATTTTTTTTAATCTTCAATAATCTACTTACATTTGTAGTGATCCATCTCTTTTCTTCATACAAAAAATGAAAGCTTTTATTAAAGATTTTGAATATCATGTGAAGTTTTTGATAAGATTTTCATCAATATATTCTTTAAATTCAAACGATTCATTTTACAATAAACTATAGATTGATCCAAATAAAAGTTGAGCTCTTTTTTGAATATCAATTGAACAATTGAAAGGACAATATTTCAGAAAAATATTTACATTCTTCTTTTAAAAAACATCTTAATAATCTTAATATTGGTTTTGAATGCCATTTGAAGTCTTTATAACATTTAAAATGGATATAGAATAAATAACACAAGGTGATTTTTTTTGTTACATGCATAAAAAATCTTACATCTATAAATAAAGATATGATTATATTAAATTTATAATTTTTTTATTTATTTGA